TTTTTTTTTTTTTTTTTAAGACGAGGTCCAACTAAGTCACCAAGTTGGCCAGGCTAAACTCAAACTTGCAATCCTGCCTCAGCCTCCCAGAGTGCTGGGGTAACAGGTGTGTGCCACCACGCCTGACCCCTAACTTTTTCACTACAGCCATCCTAGTGGATGTGACATGGTATCTGTTTGTGGTTCTGATTTGTATTTCCTTGATGCTGAGTATCTTTTCATGTGTTTATTGCCCATCTGTCTACGTTATTTGGAGAAATGTCTATTGAGATCCTTTGGCCTTTTGTAATTAGGTTATTTGTCTTCATTGTTTAATTGTAGGATTTCTTTGTGTCTTCTGTCCATTAGTCAGCCTTCTGTCATTGTAACAAAATGCCTGAGATGGACAAAAGGGGAAGGGCCTAGTCTTTCTCCTGATGTGGAGTCCACAGTGTGGCAGCTCTTAGGGGTATAGCAAGATCAGGCCAAGAAGAATCAAGAACGCACCCAGAGATTGGAGGCAAGTTTATTACACTGGTAGACTGATCAGAGATTTCTCCACAAACTGATCAGCTCAGAGCTAGCAGTGAACAGGGTTTATATGGGTTAAGAGAAGCGGGGGTGGGAAGTGAGGCATTTATCAACAGTTGAAGGCATTTAGGAAGTTACATTTAGTTTACAGGATTATTTAATGGAAAAGTACACTGGATACAGACACTTTCTGAGAACAAAGGACAATGAAGGAGGACATGTGTTGGGTGTGGGAGTATGAGCTGGGGGTGCCTCTTTGTCAATTAGGTCAGCTAGCTGCAGGAGAACTCTTTTTTGCTCAGAAATCTTTTTTTTTGGCGGGGGGCGCTCACTGGTTTCAGAGGTTTCAGTCCATGGTCAGTTGGCTCCATTGTCTTGGGGGCCTGTAGCCAGGCAGAGCAACTTAGCAGGGACCGTGTAGTAGAGCATGATGGGACACAGGAAGCAGCAGGAAGCTGCTGAGGTCCCATGATCCCCTTCGAGGCCACACACCCCAATGACCTCACTTCTTCTTACTAGGTCCCACCTCCCAAAGGTTCAACCACCTCCTAATACTGCCACCAGCTGGAGACCAAACTTTCAACACAGAAGCCTTTGAGAGACATTTAAAGTCCAAACCACAGCAGTCTTGGTACAAATCCCTTTTTAGACATATTTGGAAAGATCTGCTCCCATTCTGTGAGTCTTCACTTTCTTGATGGTGTCCTTTGTATTCCAAGTTTTGCATTTTGTGCTTGCTTTGACAGCACATATCCAAAAGTTTTGAATTTTCATGAAATGCAATTTATCAATTTTTCTTTGGTTGCTTTTGTTTTTCATGTCATTTCTGAGAAACTACTGCTAACCCAAGGTCCCAAAGATTATTACTTTGGTCTTCCAAGAGCTTTATAACTTTAGGTCTTATGTTTAGGCCTTATGATGTGATGATTTTCTATATGACATGAGATAGGGTCCAACTTTTTTTTTTCCTGCATGTGGCTAACCAATCATCATAGCATCATTTGTTGGAAGGATCATTTGTTTCCCCTGTTGAATTATCTTAGCATCCTCATCCAAATCAATCAACCATAAATGAGTGGGTTTACTTCTGGATTCCCAGTTCTGTCCTCTTAATACCTTTGCCTGCTCATACACTGACGCCCACATCTTGCTTCTTATAGCATTATATAAAATCTTTCAAGTCAGAAATATGAGTCCTCCAGCTTTGGATTTCATGTTCAATGTTAGTTTGGCTGTTGCTGAACCTTTCCTTGAATTTCTGCATGAATCTTGGGATCTGTTCTTTCCTGTGATGAGTAATAAACAGTACTAAGTGGGGACTTGTCATAGAGCAGCCAAATGGCTTGTTCCAGATGTGAGCTCTTCTGAAGTACTGAGACCTAGGCTGGGCTCTGCCTTCCAGAAAGGATAGGAGAATTGCCCGAAGTGAAGATGAGAAGAAGAAATTAACCAGACGCCATAATTAGTCAATGACAAGCAGAAAAAATACTGGGCATTTTGGCTTTGGTTTGGGTTTTTGCAGTGCTGGGGATTGAACCCAGTGCCTCACACGTGCTAGGCAAGTGAGCACCAGGCTACATCCCCAGCTCTCTTTGTTTTATTTTAAGACAGAGTCTTACTAAATGGCCCAGGCTGCCCTCAAACTTGCAGTCTTCCTGCCTCTGCCTCCCAAGTAGCTGGGATTACAGATGTGCACCACCACACCTGGCTTGATATTAGGTGTTTTAGTTCACAGTGCAGATCATACTGTGAGTGGTACCCTGAGACTGAAGGGTAATTCCAGTTCAACATCCAAAGATGGTTCAGCTAACTGCAGCAGGCGTGCCTTGAGTGGAAAAATACACACTGGCGCCTGGGTCCAGGAAGCATGCGGGCCGCTGATGTCTCCAGGTTGTGGGGTTCAGACCCCAAGAGCCAGGCCTGACCTTGGTGCGTTCACGCAAAAGAGCTCACAGAGATCTGGGAGCACTCAGCTTGGACTTTTATTGAGCTCTTTGCCAGTTGCTCTGCTGGTGTAGAAGCCTTTGCCCCAGGGACTCTGTTTCTGAATCTGTGCAGTACAGGCACGTTAAGGTTCCCTTAGCTTTCATTCGAATCGGGGGGAAGAGAGTTTTCTGTGACTTCTAAGAATAACCTTCTGTGCATTTTACCTGCTGTCTAGTGGCAGAGTGAAGCTCCCTCAGCTGTGGAGCCCCTGTCCCAGGCAAAGGGAATTCTTTTTTGGGACAAAGTCCAGAGGAAAGATGATGGGCCTGAACCAGGAGCACTGAGCTGGTTAGGAAGGGCCCAACCCAGGGGTGTCCCCCCAGCCGCCCCAAATTCCCTGCACGTCAGGTTTGCCTCACACACCCTCACGTGTGTCCCCTCACATGTGTTCACAAATCTCACTCGTGCTCACACACATCCCTTCACACATGATCACACACATCTCTTCACATGTGCTCGCAAATGTTCCCTCACAAGGTCCTCACAAGCAGGCATCCTGCTCCAAGGCTGAAGCCCCTTCCCCATTCTTCCTTCCTCCTCACTTCCGGCTCCTCCGGGCTTCTCAGAGAGACTGTCTGTGATTGGGTGAGGGGAGGAGTGATCAGTGCTGGCAGACTCTGGGCCTCAGGCTTCTCCCTACTCACCAGGGTGCAACAGAAGCAGTCTCCATGGAATTCTGTGCGGTGTACTTTTCCTGTCCTGAGCTCAGCCCAAAAACATTAGCCGGTCCTTGAACCACCCGAGTCCCATTGCAGTGACTCCAGCAGGTACCGCCCAGGCAAGGGCTCAATCCCAAGCCAAGGTGGGACACAGCTCTTGTGAACAGAAGCCAGCCGGCTCGTTGGCTAGGCTTGTGATGCGTCCCCCACAGCCTCCTGCTGCACACACAAGCTGAGAAGTGGCCCTGGGAAAGGCCTCGGAGCCCCACCAGATGCACAGGGACTCGGGGACAGAGCCCCGGGGCAGGGCCTTCCCAGAAGCCATCGGGCCATGCTGAGTACAAAGTTCTCTCAGGAGCTCGCTTTACCCACAGGTGTCTTCATCCCGGGGATTGGGGGTATCAGGGAACAGAGGACTTTGGGTTCTGTACTTACTGGGGGCCAGATATTTTCATCTGGAGGACCATGAAGTGTTTTGTTTTGTTTCTAAATTATTCACTTTCTCAGACTCCTTGAAAATGTTCAGGCATGTGTTAAAGATTATTTAAACTGGCATTCTTTCATTCCAATTTATTTTTCCAAGTCTCCCCTTTCAGGTATACCCACCCTGCAGAAGGACAAGACCTCGCTTTATGTATTTTGCTTTGGGGGCTTTTCAAAAATATTAACTGCCAGTATAAAGTCTGTATTTAAAGTCACCGAGTGAATCCTGTTTGTTCAGTTGACAAGTTTGAATCTTTATCCAATTCTTTTCCTCAGGAAATGCTTCTGAACTGGCCTTAGGTACCACAGTTCTAATTTTTCTTGTTCTCTTAAGGCTATTTTCCTAAGTTATGCTCGGGTAGGGGTTCATATCTTCTCCTGGTCTTTACTATCTGCCGCTATTTTTTCTTTTCTTTTCTTTTTTTTTTCTACCCCAAGATCCTAACAATGAAGCGTGAGGTCCTTGGTACAAACCCGATCACCCAGGACAATGATTATCCAATGAGATCCTGAAAGCTGAAGCAAATGTTTGCCCAGCTCAGTTTAGGAAAACTGAGTTTAGCCCCTCACAGCATTCAGCTTGGCTCTAGACCAGGCTTTAAATTGAACGTGCATGACTTGTGTTCTCAGCAAGCTGCTTTGAGGAATTCCGCCCGGTGTGGCTTTTCCTGTCCTGAGCTACCCAGAGGAAAGAGGTGCTGCTGAGGTCGGGCTGGAGCAGGGCTTAGGGGCCTACAGAGGACCGGTAGAGGTGGAGGGGCCAGTGGAGCGCTGCAGGACAGCGGGTTCGGAAGACTTGGCAAAGAGGAAACAGACGAAGGCGAACCAGTGACTGCGGCTGACTATGAGTAACCAGCACCCTACCTCCTAACTTTGCGGAGCTCTTCTTTAGCGTACTAGTTTATAAATTTTGACCTGTCCAAAGCACCCGTAACGATCCACCTTCTTCGAAGTGGTGGTTCGGGTTTTGTGGCAGGTGGGAAGGGACAGTTTGCCCTGTAGCAGCCAAGCCCAAGAGTCAGGGTTATAATCTGAATCCAGGAGCGGGCAGGAGCTTGGCCAGGACCTGTGGCTTCGGCATAAAAACCCTCAATCCTCACTGAAGTCGAAAGCATGCACTGAGAGCAGCATCCCAGTTTCCCCTGCCAAACAGGAGGAAGGGCCGTGTGGTGCGCAACTGCCTGCCGTCCCCGACATCGGACGAAGGGAGTGGCCTCTCTGGTATCCTGGCAGAACAGGGCAGCGTCACGAGGGCTTCTGGTCAGGAGCTCAGAGAAGGTCCCCTCGTTCTGAGTAGGGAATTCACCTCCCACTGTGCATCCTCCTGGGGCCACCTCGGAGGGGGCGGGAAGTGCACTGGGCTGGTGTCTCCACACCTCCCTGCAGCGCAGGACCGGTCAGGACAACACCAAGCACTCAGATGAAACTACAGAAGCCTCAAATGAGAGCGAGAGCAGCAGCAGAGTGAACAGGGCAGACAGTAGCACCCACGCCAAGCAGGCTGATCCCCAATCAGAGATCTGCTGGGGACTGGAGGTATCGCTCTGTGGGTTCAGTCCCCAGAACTGGAGGGGAAAAATCTATTATCAACACCAGCAAACGTGAGAGCTCAGTCAGGTGCCAGGGATCGGGGTTCATTCTCTGCTGAGCCACACCCCCACCTCTCTCAAATGCAGTCATCCGTGGGGGAAGCAAAAGTATTCTGAACCCGTGGTGGAAGAGCCAAGGGGATCACTGGTCAGCACTATAAACTGGAAAGCTGCGCTCTCTCTGGGGGATGAGGAGACAGGAGGCCCAGCATCCTAAAAGTGCCTGAGCCAGCCGCAGAGGGACTGATGGAGCCTGCACCCCTTACTTGAGGGACCCCTCCCTTGGTGACTGACTTGGCCCAGCATGAGGGGCTCTGATGAGGTGCCTTTCTGAGTGACCCAAGGGCCAACAAATCAGTTCTGGTGCTGATCGTGGCCGTGAAACTGCAGTCTTTTCCCTAGAAGTCTGGGGACATTTTCCACCCTCTAACGACAAAGACCTGAGGTACCCGAAAGAGCTGTCTCTCATCTTCAGACACCCAAAGGCTTCTCTGGTCCACACCTCGGGGTTGGATCCCTACCAGGAAGCTCCTGTCTGATGGCTGCTGTCCCTCGCCCCCAGATGGGCAGGGATACTCGCTCTGGGGACTCAGCCCTTTCCCTGTGGAGGCTCCCAGCTGGGGACAACCTGAGCCTCCTCATAGGCTCCTCACGGCAGGGTGTGTCTGAGGGGAGAGGGAGCAGGCCACTGTCTGACCGTGTCCCCCACTGCCAAGTGGACCCGGGCCCTGGCATCTCCCCTGAGTCTGTCTGGCCCCAGCAGGGAGGGTGTAGGAGTCCTTAGTGGCCTGCAGCCCTGGCCACACTCTGCCTTCCTCCTTCTCAGAGCCCGGCAAGTGCCTCTCTCGGGCCCAGGCCACCACACAGGCCCAGCTGTCCTGCAGCAAGGTGGGCGGCGTGGAGGGCTGCTTCCTCTCCTGCCTGGCCCATACCCTCTTCGTGCCAGGTAACCCCAGGCTGTCCTAAGGGTGGGCACGTTGGGGGCTTCTTCCCTGGGGTTCCTGTTCCTGCTGCTCACAGGAATGAGCCTGACCTAGGAACGAAGACCCTGGTCCCCAAGTCCTCCTGGGCATCTGCCTGGCTCTCTGAGGTCTGGGCTCCTCCTTCCCCAGCTACTCACCTGTGTGCATGTGGCAAAATCGGGCTAACAGAGGGCCAGGGATTGAGCTCAGTGGTTCTGGTAACTGCCTTGTAAGCGCAAGGGCCTGAGTTCTATCCCCGGTACAAAAAACAAAAAAAAAAAAACAGGCTAACAGGGATCAGTCCTGATCTTCATCTCATTGAGCAACCCCTCAGAGGCCTCGAGAATCTGAGGCCCTGGAAGGGAGGTGCACCTAGGCCCACCTCACCCACTGGCCTCTCTGCAGACTCGGAAAACAGCTACGTCCTGAGCTGCGGCATTCCAGGTCTCCAGGGCAGGACACAACCAAAGCGCAATGGCACCGGCTCTGGCACTGGGCCCAGCTGCTCAGGTAAGCTCCTGGCCTGTCCATGCCACACATGCCTGGGTGGGCCCCTGGCTCTGTGTCCAGCGCTGTGCTGGGAGGGCGGAGGGGCACAGTGAGGGAAGATTCAGGGCAGGAACCAGCGCAGTGTGGGATCCTACAGACAAGGCAGAGCCAGGCCCTAGAAGCCAGGGGGCTGTAACCCAAGTCCCTGCCTAGCATAGTGGGCCACAGGGCTGTTCTGAGGTCTGGAGAACAGAGCAGTTTGATGGCCCTCCAATGCTACGAGTCCATGGGCCTCAGGTACTACTTCAGGGCATGTGTCCCTCCGCTGTGTGGTGAGGTTCTAAAAGCTCCAAAGCACAACTGCCCTTGAACCCCTGACCTGGAAGTTCCCAGGTGCAGCATGCTGGCCTCCTGTCAGCTTAGGGGCAGGCTGTATCCTTGCTGCTGAAGACACGGGATGTGATTAGAGGCCCAGCAATCACAGAAGTTTGTGGGAATTTAGGGTTCTAGGTGTCTGCATATTTCACACCCACTTCCTTGCCTCTCCTCCTCTTCCTAAAAGCCTTAGCTGTGTCTATGCCTTTGCCAGTGAGGCAGGAGGTGGGCAGCGTTCCATTCCTCTTCTGTAGGAGCCTCTGGCTGGACAGCCCCAGACTTAAACCTGACCTCGTGGCCCATTGGTCACCTTCCGCAGCCTTGCACACAGGGGAGGTTCTCCAACTGGGAGGGCTGTTAGGCCAGAGAGGCCCACTCCAAGCCACAGCTCGGGGAGACGTGGCCCCTGGGAGCCCCCACTCCCCACCACCTCCTTCTCCTCAGGAGAGGCCACCACCTGGGGGATTTTGACTTTCCCTAGATTCCCCCACTTCCCCCATCAAGCAGAAGGCCCGCTTCAAGACCAGAGATGCTAAGTGCCACCTCCGGCCCCGCAGTCGGGAGAGAGCAAAGGAGACCCCGAGGCAGCCATTGCTGGGTGAGTGCGCCACCCTGCACTGCCTACCAAGGGAGAGTGGGGAGTCCCCAGGCCTGGAGCTGGGGCCCACAGTCCAGTGGGGCTGGCTTTCCAAGGACAGGGGCCATAGCCCAAGGAGCCGTGCTTGGGGCACTACAGATGCTGGCCAGGTCTCAAGAAAAAAGCCAGCACCTGAGTAGGAAACTTGTATGCCCTAGGATCGAAATCACTTCCATCATCCCTGAGACACAACGCCCAGCACCCGCAACTTAAGGAGGAGAGGTTTATTTTGGCTCACAGTTTGTAGAAGTTTCAATCTTTGCATGGTCGGTGGCTCCAAGGCAGGGCAGCATAACGGAGGCCCAGTGGAGGGGAGCTGCTCATAGCCAGGAAGCAGAGAGCAGAGGGAGCAGAGAGAAGGGAGATAACCCCCCGGGCCACGTCCCCAGGGACTGCCTCTTCCAGCCAGACCCCACCTCCATCAGCAAGTCAGCTCCAAAAACCTGCACGTGCATGAGGCTTCGGGGGACATCTACATCTAAAGCGTAACTCCCAGCATCCACGGGGCACTGTCCCTGCCCCCTGGGGTTAATGAGCACACAGACTTGCCGTGTGGCCTGCTTGTGCCCCAGTGGAAGGAATTACGGCACTCACTTGGTACCACTCTTGAATGAGGTTGGCCATGAGTCTCCAGGCTTAGCTGTGGAGGGAAAAGGAGGTGGTGTCTCCGTGGGCAAACTCGCTGCAGGCCCTGCATGCAGCTCTACCTAGCTCAGCCACTAAGGCCACATGAGACCCTGAACCACCCCTGCCTTCTCTAGCCTCAATTTCCCCATCTGCTGCATGGACTGTTGGGCACAGAGGGACCCTTGCAGAGTGGCAGTCTCTGTGCAGGGCCTTGTAGGAACCCGTTCCCTGCCCAGGCCACCTTTGCCACAGCACCCCCTCCCTTGTCCAGACAACTGCCACGTGACTTCCGTGACCCTCAAATGTGACTCCTCCAAGAAGAGGCGCCGAGGCCGCAAGTCCCCATCCAAGGAGGTGTCCCACGTCATAGCAGAGTTTGAGGTGGAGCTGAAGATGGAGGAGGCCTCAGGTGGGTGAGGGGCTCGCTCGTGGGCTGCCGAGGACCTGGGGGACCGTCGGGGGTCAGGGGGTGTAAAGCCAGGCTCCCATCAGAGCCGCGGCAGGAGGAGGCAGAGACCAGCCAGGCAAGCAAGGGACACAGCACAGCCAGGGACAAGGACAGGAGAAGGGCACAGAGACAGCTGCACACCTCTCCCCACAGGGCTGTAAAGGGAGACGTGCGGCAGCCCCAGAACAGTTGCGCCAGGGCCTGTCTTTCCTGCTCGCAGAAGGGCTTGTCACACTATTTTGTGTTTCACGTCAACACGTTACTCTTGGCTGTGACAGAGGAGTTGAGAGGGATCAGCGAGTGTGTCAGGTGTGTGCCCGGCCCCGGGCATGGGCGCTCTGGCCCCTGCCCTGGCAGCATCTGCAGCCACAGGGAGGTGGGTGTGAAAACAAGCTACCCAGTCCTGGGGGACGCTGTGGGTGGTGGGGGAGTGAGGACAAGCGTACACAGAACTAAGGTCCCTCCCCAAGAGAGGGGGCTCCGGAAGCCTTCCCAGGAGAGGGGCCATTGAATCCGCGCTGGATTCTTCTACTGGGTAGAAGAGGTGGCAAGGAATGGCGTAAAGGCAGGGAATAGAATGCCGCAGCCACAGAGGGTGGATTCAAGGCCAAAGAACAGGACGTGATCTGAGGACGGGCAGTCCTCACCCTGTTCGGATCATGCGCACTCACACATGCTCACACACGTGCACCTGAGGAGCTGTGCCCTGGTTGTGTGACACATTGTGGTGAATGGAGGCCTGGCTTGTCCCAGGGTCTGCCCCCGCCGGCTCACGCCTCTCAGGTCCCTGGCTGCTCATCCGTCGGCTGGACACTGGCCCGGCCTGCTGTGAGGTTGCACTGAGGTGTTCTACACAGCCCCCCGCACTGCACAGGGCCTGGCACGGGGCCCTCCGCAAAGCAAGCAGCAGGTGTGAGCCCCTCTCCTGCCCTCTCCCGCAGACGCCTGTGACGAAGACTGCCTGCGGAAGCGGGCGGAACAGAGCCTGCAGGCTGCTGTCAAGACCCTGAGGAAGGCCATCAGCCGGCAGCAGTTCTACGTCCAGATCTCAGGCACAGAGTACGAGGTGGCCCAGCGGCCAGCGAAGGCCCTGGAGGGAGCAGGGTCCTGCAGCGCGGGCCAGGTGCTCCAGGATGGCAAATGTGGTAAGATGCTGTGACTTCCTGTCCCCCGCGCGTACAGCCTGGGCACGCCACAAGGAGCGGGAGGGGAAGACAGGAACACACAGGGACGGACGGAGGGCACACTGGGGTCCGCGTCCCTGCTCCAGGCAGTGGCATCGTCCATGTAACAGTGCAGAGCGGGCAGCCCCAGCCACAGATCAGAGCTCAGCTCAAAGCACAGGCTGGGCAGGGAAGCCACGAGCAGAGCCAGGACGGAGACTCAGACAGCATGGTGGGGAGCTGCTGTGGCCTGGGCGTGATGCGGGGCCTCACGATAGCCTTCTCTTATTTTCAACAACTCATTTGGGACTATTTCTAGCTTTCAGAGACATTGTTAAGCAGAACCAAAAACATGCATATTTTCTTCATCCACATTTCTAGAATTTGCTGGCATTTGCTATGGTAGGGTTTCCTGTGCGTGTGCTCCTCAATGTCCAACCCATACACGCCGTGACATTTCCTTTTTTTTTTTTTTTTTTTTTTTTTTTTTTTTTTTTATTTCTTCTGTTTTTATTTACTGGGGATTGAACCCAGGGCCTTCACACTGAGCTACATCCCTGGATCTTTTTTAATTTTTTTTTATTCAGAGACATGGTTTTTCTAGGCCACTAAATTGCCAGGCTGGGCTTGAACTATGATCCTCCTGCCTCAGCCACCCAGAAGGCTAGGATTACAGGCACGCACCACCAAGCCCAGCTACCCCGTTAACATTTCATCAGTTCTTCCAAACATGTCCCTTTTCAGTTCCTGGGCCCAGCTCCTATCCAGGAACGCAGGTCTCTTTCCTTGGCACACCTCTGAGGTACCTGGGGTCTAGCCAGCCCTTTCCTGGTGTGACAAACCCTCTATGTGTGGCTGACCCTTGGCACTGTCCATTGAGGTCTCCTCATGACAGCCGGCACCCGCTGTATCACAGGGCAGATAAACTGCAGCTGCCATCCCTGGTCCTCCGCTCTCTTGGACCCCGCAGGATACTGAGGGCCCTGGTTCCTGCTCCTCCACTCGTCTTTTCCCCCTACGATGGAGTAGTAGTTTTCTACCGATATCCTGCTCCTTGGGGCTCCCACCCACCAGCCCCAGTTTTCCTTGACATTTCCCACCAAATCCGGATATTCTCTATTCTGGCATTTGGCCTACTTAGCATCTCCTGTGAGAAAGAGCTTCCTTCACCAACGTGTGTGTGTGTGTGTGTGTGTGTGTGTGTGTGTGTGTGTGTGTGTGTGCATGTGCACGTGTGTGTGTGCAGGAGGGAAGGAGAGCGCTCCGCTCATGGCTCACACCATGACCTCCATCCAGTTCCACCCCAAGTTCTTTCTAACCTTCCCCTCCCTGTCTGTAAATATCTTCTCAAGCAGGGAAAGATATGGCTCCCTTCCTCCTTAATTTACCAATGTCCTGTTTATTTCTCTCCTCTGTTCTCACTGGCCCAATGTGGCCCGTCACCCTGGCCCTCTCTTCCACCCACATCTCCACATTATTTCCCCAACAGCCTCTGCCCAGCACCAAGCCCTCTTGCCGCTGTGTTTCTGAAGCCCCCAGCTGCTACCCTGCCTGGCATCCCGGGGTGCCGGATCCCTAACACAGGAAGGACAGGCTGAGGGATAGGGGCCTGGAGGAGGTGGCTGTGGAGCATCCAGGTGGAGACTTCCAGGAGACAGTGCAGTAAAAGACCAGGAAGTCAGGCTGGAGGGCAAGATGTGGACCACAGGAGGGGCTGGAGGGGTCCGCAGGGCCCTGAGGTCCTCATGGATGGCGCCACCCAGGCTGCCTTGGCTCTTCCAGGATGGAGCTGGGCCCCCTGGGCCCTGGAGTGCAGCATCTGCTGGTGGAGAGGCTGGCTGGGTACCCAGGAGGCAGCCAGGCCCACTGCCCACTCACCCCAGCTGTCCCTCCTCTCTGCCTCCACAGTGGCCTGTGCACCTGGCACCTACTTCAGTGGCGAGTGGGGCCAGTGTGTGCCATGCGTGTCAGGGACCTACCAGGACCTGGAAGGTCAGCTCAGCTGCACCCCGTGCCCCAGCAGTGACGGGCTTGGCCTGGCCGGTGCCCGAAACGTGTCCGAGTGTGGAGGCGAGTATGGGCCCGCCTGGTGGGGAGGAGGGGTCGGAGGCGGGGCCCCTCGACTGAGGCTCCCGAAGCCAAGGCAGAAGCCGTGTGCAGCCACAGAGCATGACACTGTCTACAGCACTTTGCCATTTCAAAGCCCCTGGGTTTCCACGTGGGCATCACCCAGACAGGGCACCGTGGCTCCCATCTGCCCCTGCTTTCCAGTGCCCTGTCATTCCACAGCCCTCAGGCACCCCAAGTACTTGGCATCAGGCAGCCTGCTGGAGACTTTACAGTGGGCACGCTCCTTGTACCTCACAGATCAAGGGGCCCGTGGGGAGGCACAGAGTTCTTCACGGTTGGCATCACATCCTACGCAATGCTCTGTCTTCACCAAAACACATCACAGGCCGAGCCATACGCTTCATGGGTCAGGAACTTTGCTCCTTACAAAGGACTTTACAATTTTGGACCAAGCATGGTAGTACACGCCTGCAATCCCAGCTACTTGAGAGGCTAAGGCAGGAGGTTCACAAGTTCGAAGTCACCTGGGCAACTTAGTGAGACCCTGTCACAAAATAAAAAATAAAAAGGGCTGGGCCAGTGCTCCCTGGGATCAATCCCCAGTATCACCATCCAACACACACACACACACACACACACACACACACACACACACACACACACACACGCATGGACAAAAAGTTTCCCTTGTAGCTGGTTGAAAGAGAGCCCTTTTTTAGTTTACCAAGCATGGTTTGGTTCTTGAAGGGCTTTACCACCTAGCACCCCACTCAGCCCCTCTGTGAGATGGATCTCCCAGCAGCCTCTCCTGCACCATTGTGGGGCTCTCCCTGCAGAGGGCACAGGGGACCTCAGCACTGGGAAGCGGGTACCTAAGGGGAGCAGAGAGCTCTGTCCTTCTTCTGGTGCCTTCTCCAAGTGTGGTGACTGTTGAAGCTCAGGATGGCCACAGGAGGACAGTCCCTGAGTCTGGGCCAAGAGGACTCTGAACCCACTTCTCACCTAATGCCGGGATGCCTGCATACTTCCTTCCTGCTGGACTCTGGAACATTCTTTATGTTGAGCTGAAGTCAGCTTTCCCATGGTCCCTTCTCTGTCCCAGCACTGCCCTTGGAGCCTCAAAGACCTTCCACCTCCTCCCACTTTTCTGACACAACCGACCACCCTCTCCGTGCACAGGGACGACAGGCTTGGCCAGGCTGCCCCACCCCACCCCGTGCCCATCCCAGGGCCCAGGGCCACCAACACCCAATCTGAGCCGTGACCTCTGACTTGCAGGCCAGTGCTCTCCGGGCTCCTTTTCAGCCGATGGCTTCAAGCCATGCCAGACCTGTCCCCTGGGCACGTACCAGCCTGAGCCTGGGCACACAGGCTGTTTCCCCTGTGGTGGGGGACTGCTCACCAAGCATGAGGGTGCCACCTCCTTCCAGGACTGCGAGGCCAAAGGTGAGGGGGCCCCACTGCCCGCCACTATACGCCTCCCATCTCCTCTGCCTGGGCACCTTCAAGATCAGGGGGACCCTCAGGAATGCTGGGTGCGGGGTCCACGCCTCCTTCACAAGCTGGTGACCTGTCTCACCTTCAGTGGGCTCCCTCTCCTCGTCTGTCTGTCTGTCTGCCTGTCTGCACCACCAGCCAAGGTCCTAGGTCCACAGAGCCTGTGTGGTGGCTGCTTTACCTTGACACAAAGACAGCCCAGCCTCCAGACCGCCCCAGCTGTACACCAGTCTAGACTTGTTCTTTCCCTTCCTTTCCTCCCTTTCTGCCCTGAACCCCTTCGTGCCCACAGTTGCCCCACTGCTCCCTGAAAATTGCTCCCATCGAGGTGACCCACAGTGCCCCCTGGGTTGCTGAGAGCCACGCACGTCCTCTGTCTGCCTCTGGCATGGGCCCCTCCGTGTGCTCTTCCTGGAGTCCAGCACACAGCTCTTGTGCTGCATTTGTGTCCCAGCCAGGCGGCCGCTCAGCCTCCTGAGCATCTGTCCCCTCATCCCCCAGTGGGGAGTACTTGGGTGGTGGAGGTCTCGAGTGTGTGTGGGGTGCTCCTTGCCCTGCCTTGGCGCACAGACCCCCACCCGTGCGTCCCCTCCTGCAGTGCACTGCTCCCCCGGCCACCACTACAACACCACCACTCACCGCTGCATCCGCTGCCCTGTGGGCACCTACCAGCCCGAGTTCGGCCAGAACCACTGTATCACCTGTCCGGGCAACACCAGCACCGACTTCGACGGCTCCACCAACGTCACCCACTGCAAAAGTAGGTGCCACTCTTGTGGGAGTGGGAGGCCGGGCACGCTGGGCAGGCGTGGGTGAGACCTGGCCTCACCCCTCTGAGAGGAAGTCTGCGCCTGCCTGAGCCCAAGCCGGGAGGGGCAGTGCCCGCCGGGCGCACTGTCCGAGGGCGCTGTGCATGGGTCGCCCTCGCCCTCCAGACTCCGTCTGTGCCCCGGACTCCAGGCTTCACACATTGATGCTGTGTTACTTTACATTCATTTTGCAGTTTCTGCGTTTTACCTTTTCCTAATCAATTTTGTGGGGCTTCTGATCATGTCTAGAACCATCTAAAAGCCTGTGAAGGGCATTTATTCCTGGAGGTGACAGCCAGGCACGTGACCCTCAGAGCCAGAAGAGCAGTTGAGCAGAGGAGTCTGCAGGTGGAGGGTTTTTATAATCTTGATGGGTAAAAGTAGGAAAGCCGGGTGATGGGGAAGTTTCTGGAACGCTGAAGGTGGAAAGGAAGCGTTTCCCAAAAATCTTGACAGGAGAAAATACTTCAGTGAGAACGCACAGGAAATGAATATATATTTAATATTATATTTAGTTCGTTTTGCAAAATTTATTTCTTTATACCTTTAAGGCGCAGAACCATTTGTCTCATTAAAATGTCACATCTGGCCTCTCCGAGGATGCAGTAGTTAGCAAAGAAAGGAAAACACGTATCTCTTTCCTCGCTGCGGTGCCCTCCCGTGGTCTCCTACCCCTGGTGGAGAGGGCACCCATGCCACGGCTGGCAGGCTCAGCCCAGGTGCCTGATACCTCGGATGGGTGAACCGAGAGAAAGGGCAAGCGCTGCTTCCCTCGGGAGAGAATCAGGGGCTGACAGGTGGGCGCCGACAGCCCGCAGGGTGCTTGGAAAGCAGGGTGACTCTGCATCAGGCAAGGCAGCCCCCTGAGAAAGAGCAGCTCAGGCTGGGCCTCCAAAGCCAGCAGGCGGAAAGGGGCAGCCAGGCTGGGACCCAGGCCAAGGCTGGGGCACACGGAGGGCTGAGTGGAGGCTGGCTGAGCACTCAGCCAGCTGCGCCTGATCAGGCCCTCGGGCCACGGTGCCCACAGACCAGCACTGCGGTGGCGAGCTTGGTGACTACACGGGCTACATCGAGTCCCCCAACTATCCTGGCGACTACCCGGCCAACGCGGAGTGTGTGTGGCACATCGCGCCACCCCCCAAGCGCAGGATCCTCATTGTGGTCCCCGAGATCTTCCTGCCGATCGAGGATGAGTGCGGAGATGTCCTGGTCATGAGGAAGAGCGGTGCGTGCTGGCCCCAGGGCTGGGGCTGGGGACGGGACGCAGCCTCAGCCACTCACCAACGCCCCTCCTCCTCTTGGTGCGGCTCCAGGGGCAGGAGCAGGTGCACAGAGTGTGCCCTTGAATGTGGCTGTAGGAGCAACGTGAGGAGGTCGGGGAAGCTTAGCGGTGCCCTAAACAGGACCTAGCGGGCCCCGATGCCTCCCCACAGCTGGATGGTCCGGCCAGCTGCAGCCCCTTCTCCCCGCCCCCCATCACACAACCCAGTGAGACCCCGGAAGTGCCCCTCCTCCTCTCCCCGAGGCTTGGGTGAGCAAACGGCCTCCCAGGCACACCGTGAAAGCTGGAGGGTTGGACAAAGGCGCCTTCCACAGGGGCGTGGACGAGCGTGTGCCTGCGTCCTGGCAGTGAGAAAGCAGAAGCAGCTGGGTGCCCCCGCAGGGACCTGGCAGAGACCTCACTGCCGTTGCCAGGTGTGGGCACTCCATTCCCAAGTCCGGCACCACCTGCTCAGTGAGGCTGCCGAACGGAAAGAGCAAGGGAGCTGCCCGAGGTGCCTCAGCCAGCCAGAGCCCAACCCAGGACCACTGCCACACCCATCCCTGTCAGGGCCTCCACCCCGCTGCCTTGTCCACCGCAGCTCACCTTCCTCCAGGGGCACCCGGGAAGGCTCCCTGGGGAGCAGCAGGACGCCCTTGCTCACTGGCTCACAGGAGAGAGGCCTCCCAAACCTGACCCCAGGCTCTGGCCTGCACACTCTCCTCAGGGGCCCAGCGGGGCTCTGCACAGGGAGACAGAGGCTCGTCATAGAGGGGCTGTAGGAGTGGGTTCACCAGAGCAGAACAGGAACACGGAGGGAGAACCCAGAGGCTTCCTAGAGGAAACCGGCCTCAGAAGGGCCAGGAGAACCGGGACCAGTGCTGGGAAGAGCTGCCTGTTTGACGAACCAGGCATTGCAGGCTCAGGGGACCAGCCGGGTGGGAAGGTGAAGCCCTGCAGATCTGGGGACGCTTCCACAATGGTGAGGCTCCCCGCAGCCTCCCCCACATCTATCACCACCTACGAGACCTGCCAGACCTACGAGAGACCCATCGCGTTCACATCCCGCTCCCGGAAGCTCTGGATCCAGTTCAAATCCAATGAGGGCAACAGCGGAAAAGGCTTCCAAGTTCCCTACGTCACGTATGACGGTAAGGTGGGACCCTGTCCTCACAGCCACTGCGTGCCAGGCCCAAAGGAAGCGCAGTCACCTGTCCCTGTCAGCAGGCAAAACAGAGACCCAAAGGAAGCGCAGTCACCTGTCCCTGTCAGCAGGCAAAACAGAGAGGCCATGCCTGCAAAGGTGTGGAAGGTTCAGCAGGGCAGCTGCAGCTGGAGGAGGAAGGGTGTGCAGGTGGAGGAAGCCCCTGGTGCTAAGGCCCAGGCAGAGCTGCGCCCGGGCCATCCCACAGCCGGGGAGGGCAGGGGCCACAGTGGGAGGGTCTCAAGCCCTTGCCTTTGCCTCTGGCCTGGCTGTGCAGAGGACTACCAGCAACTGATCGAAGACATCGTGCGCGACGGGCGCCTATACGCCTCGGAGAATCACCAGGAAATCTTGAAGGTGAGTTTACTGGGGGCATCCATGTGACTGAGAGAGTGGCCGGACAATCTCTACGCCCCCACCTTGGCCGTCCTGACCCCTGGCCCCTGGAGAAAGGAGGAAGGGTGATGACAGGATCCTGAGGAGGAAGAGGGCCTGGGGGTAGGGGCCCCCGCACAGAGACTGGGGCTGACACATCTGTCCCCCCAAATCAGGAGACCCGAGGCCAGCTCGCTACTGGGAACCTGGTCACATGGCCTCGGGCAGGTTCTTTGCCTGAGGTTGTCAACCTCGCTTTCCTGCCTGTGAAATGAGGTGGTGTCCTAAAATCAGCAGATTCCACCCACTACTGTTATCACTTAGAGACACTGTGCTACTGGGACTGGACTCCCCCCTCATCTGTGGTGGCCTTGAGCAGCAGAGCCACTGAGCCATAAGGGGAGGCTGTGGCTGTCACTTAGCAGCACTGGTCAGAGGCCCAGGGATTGGCTCTCACCAAGAAGGCCAGACCTGGTGGGCCCTGGCCCAGCCTCTGGACAGCAGGCTCCTTAGCATTTGAAGATCCCCCGTCCCATGTCTTGCAGGACAAGAAACTGATCAAAGCTCTGTTCGACGTGCTGGCGCACCCCCAGAACTACTTCAAGTACACAGCCCAGGAGTCCAAGGAGATGTTCCCTCGCTCCTTCATCAAACTGCTGCGCTCCAAAGTGTCCCGGTTCCTGCGACCCTACAAGTAACGCTCAGTGCTGGCCTGCGGGACGGCGAGGTGGAGGGAAGACTCCCTTCCCTCCAAGGAGGAGCAGAAGAAAGCCCCTGGGCCTCTGTGTCACCTTGGGAAACCCGTGACATGTGCCCCTCGGGGAAGCTGTGGAGGGCTGGGACCAAGCCCAGGCCTCCCTCGGATCTGCCGTCCCAGGGGGAACTCTTTGCTGCAGGATGCCTTTGTCCCTCCCTTCACCTCTTCACTTCCCAGGACACCACGAGCACGGTGTCCTGGCAGGACGCTGCCTTACCACGACGCGCCACGCCCGCTTCACGTGTGGACAGCGAGTGCCCGCCCTACGCGTGGCATTTCAGGAGAGAAGAAAACGGCCGATGCTGTCCCTGGGACACTGGAGGAGGCGTGGGCAGATGTCAACCACACAGGAAGGAAGGCCGGGGAAGCGGGGAAAGGAGCCAACACGTACGGGTGGACAAGTCTGCCTTGATGCCCTCAGGGCCGCCAGACTCCTCCGGCTGTGGGCACAGGACATGGTGCCCCTTCGCTGGGCTCTGAGGACGCTGTAATGGATGGGACGGAGCTGCAGGGGGCGAAGCTAGGTCTGTGCTTTCCCTCAGTGGGACATCTAAGTACTATATATATGTGGGAATATCAATATAAGATTATATGTATATATATAGTCTTATATTTACACTTCTGTTGTGAACACATTAGGAAAATGCTCAGTGTGGGTCGCTGCAGCCAGCCTGCCTAGAGAATTACGATGCTCCTCCTGTGACTGGCACCTCCCAAGGCAGGTGGGGAGAGCCAGGCTGGCCCCGTGCATTCTTAGGAACTGGGCTTAGTACTGTCGGAGCGTCGGCCCCACCCCATGCTCCTCGTGCTGCCCCCAATGGGACCCCGTGGATGGCAGCCCTCCCTGGGGATGCAGGGCCTCGCCACGAACTTCAGAAGGGGCCTGCGTTCCGGCCCTGTGGTGACGCCCCCTGGGTTTTGTGTTGTGCCCACAAATCGCCAGGAAATGAGGTCTTTCTCAAGGGAACCTGGAGCAGCCACCCACTCCTCACCTGTCAGGCCTCCTTTCTGCCACACTTTTGTCCCCTTGGACACAAGGAGTCAGTGGGACGGGGAAGCCAGCACCTGGGACAGCCTGTTGAGAGCACCGGTGTACCAGGGTCACACCAAGTCCTCGTTGCTTGTCATACCGCTCGCTGCCAGCTGTAAGCTGTGCATAAGATACAGTCTGTATTTTTCAGGTTAACAAATGTTAAAACTTCCAAGGGACACAAAAATCTTAAAAGGAACTCCAGCCACTGATTCCAAGTGGCCACCAGGGTTCCTGCTCCCAGCCCAGCCTGACTGACGGAAGGTTTGAGAAATGCACGCGGCCCAAAGACACTGGCAGGTGAGCGGGGTCACGAGAGCATGGCCTGGTGACTGGCACACAGGGTGTGACACATTCTACAGTCCAGAAAAGGACTTGGGACTCAGGAATGAGTCACCACCATCACACACATCTACCAAAGATGAGTCCCCGGCTGCCACTGGCCACTTTCTCGGATCAAGTCCAAGTGGAAAATGGTGCGCAGAGCCTCTGCACTTGCTGAAAGGTCCAGGTTAACTGATAGCCCTGCCAGAAGCCACACTGCACCTCTGCTGGTCACAGTCCTTGCAGGCCAGCCTTAGTTTCCAGAAAGAGACCCCCCTTCCTTTGTCAGGGTCCCCAGAAAGAAGTGCAGATGGCAAGTACACAGGAGGACGCTGTGAGGGACTTAGACTCTTTATTAAGGTTCTCCATGGAAACAAGACCAACAGGATACACAGAGAGAGAGAGATCACACGGACTTATGAAAACCTCCTCACAGAACTGTGGAGGCCGAGACTCTTTGAGGCACTGTGTGCATGCTGGAGAAGCCAGAAGCTGGCAGCATGGTTTAGGCTAAATCCAACCAGAGAAGCTGGGCACCCTAGAGTCCAGAGGCCCGAGAACCAGGAGCAGAAGGGGAATCTCCCAGCTCCCAGAGAGTGAACTGCCCCTTCCTCCACCTCTTTGTTTTATTGGGGCCCCTCAGCCAACCCAGGTACTGGATGCCCCCCATGCTGGGTCTTTGCCTAATCTGCCGGTTCCCTGAAAACTCCCCAGGAACCCCATGAGGAACAGTTTACCAACTGTCTGGGTCTCCAACTAGGCCAGTCAAGCTGACACATAAAATGAACTATTGTGCTTCTTAAGGATGTTTTTAATGCCTTCAAAACACAGAGAGGACCGGAAAGCACTTTCGGGCTCTCCTGAGTTTTCCCTGTGATCCCTGAGTGGTTCTGTCATCTGTACGCCCATGAAGCCACCTCCCCATGTCTGCTCTCATCCCACATCTGTCACCAGCACTGTGGCCACTGCATGCCCAGTGTCCGCAGGGCAGAGCAGGACAGGGCAGGCACAGGGCAGGTTCCTCCTCCTCCTCCTCCTCTCACCATCAAACCCTTCTGTAGCTGTTGTGCTACGAAAGAGGCTTTGAGAAGGACCGGGTAGCCAGAGACGCAAGGTCACCAGTTGCCCTCACCGTCACCAACATCCCAGTGACATAAAGCCCAGAGTTAGGGTCTGCTGCAACTCCCTGCGTTGTAGAACTTTGGATCCCAGCCATTAAAGCCAAAGCCGACCCCGGTTCTCATGGGGCTCTCTGGACAACAAGTACATTTCCACGAGCTCACATGCTGCGGGGCATGTCTTCCTGAGGAGACTTTAGGAAAGAGGGAAGGTGGGGTCAGCCATGCAGGAGCCTTCCTGGTGAGAAGCCGGAAATGGAAGCACTGAGCTGGAAGCTGGCTTTGGCTTTGGTCAGCCCTGGTCCCGTGGCGCGGCCAGTCAAGGAGCTGCCAGAAGCCACACTGTACCCTGTACTCCCAGCAAAACGGTACAGGACAGTTTCTGGAAGCAGAAGCCCTGCCGTCTGGTGAGGCCTGGAAAAGGGTCTGTGGAGCCTCCAGATTCCTCTGAGCTTAGTGCAGCTCCTGGGCCCCTGGCTGGGCTTCCCAGAGTGGACCCAGGAGTGCAAGCAACACCTCAGCACTTCACACTTCTACCCACACACCTGGCCTCTTCTGCTTTGCAGGCCCACAAGGGAGAGGTCTGCACCGAGGTTCAGTGGCCAGCCACACCCTCAGGCAGCCTCCTCTGCTGCCCAGAATCAGGCTCTTTATGTCCCCGTTATTCTCTTTGTGCTGCCTCTCTTGGCTTCGGGCTCCACCCGGGCCCTCTAACAGCAAGATCAGCCTGTGCTCCCCAACACAATCCACCCCGGCCAATAGTGGTAACCACTTTTCCAAACTGGCTCCCGCCCTTGCTGGGGACACGCAGCACCCAGAAAGGCCCCAGAAAGCGGTGCAGGGCCCCAGAAAGTGACCACAGGGGCCAGGTGTGAAAGCCTTTAGAGCGACCTCTGACCTCTAACAAATGCACTGTCAGGGTCGGGGCTGTTGTGAGTCCTTAACTGAATCTAGCAGCTGATGTTATTCAGGACCTCCACCACCCCTGCTTGAAAAGGAAGAAGTGAATTTAGCAGCATTTACCAAGCATTGACTGTGTGCCGGGCTCCTAGGAAGACAGGGGACAGGGAGGCACAAAGATGACAGCCTGCCCAGGACAGCAGCCACCTGGCACAGCCAATGCCCCAGAAGGCAGGCACCTCTCTTCTCGCCCAGGGACCCAACTGACTTACTCACTCGCTGCCGAGCCACCTGTAGCTGATAGCAAGGTCCCATCGCTTCACCAAAGATACTCATGGGACGGTGCTCAGCTGATGCCATTCAGGATTTGATCTGCGTCGAAATGCCCATGGGCTACACAGAGACAAACAAAGAGCCCCTCTTCTCCCCAATGCCTCTGCTCCATGGCCCCCATGGGTTATGAGCCCTTCAGGAATGACCCGGAAGCAGGACAAGGCTTGAGTCTACCCTGTGCTGCTTGTCTTGCTTTTAAAGGTACAGTAGAGGAAGCCACCCCAGGCCCAGGAAACACAGGCATGCACATGCTGCCTCCAGCATCCTCCTCTTATGGCCCCCACAGAGCAGGCCCTGGGGTCCCCTGAGGCCTCCCAGCCCCCGCTGTCCCAGAGCCCATTGGATGGTCCCTTTGAAATTGTCCAGACTTCCCAAGTCTCACCAGGAAGTGAATATTCATCCATTGTCATCCGAACCTAGAGCTTGGAGCCTCAGCCTGGGACAAGAGGATCCAATCCAAGGGTGGCCCGGAGGCATGGAGAGTGACCTCAGTGATACACCCTCCCTCGAGAAGCACTAAACATTCAGAGAAATGATGTCTTAGGCCAGGGGACAGGGTGCTCAGTTATGAGCTGGCACTGCCAGCTCCTACCTACGCCTGCCCGTGTCCCAGGGATGCCCCTCAGCATCGCACAGCACAGTGAGCGTCGTGCCTGTGGGAAGATCTGGGGAAAGGCAGAGAGGCAGCGTCATAGTGCCAAGGTTTGGTTTCCAATCCAGAGTAGATCTAGGGCGGGGAAACTTCAGATTCTGCCAGGTCAGAACCCTAAACACTGAGCAGGCCCAGTCCATAGGGCCCTGGCGTCAGCTGCCAGGGAGCCGCACTCTCACCCGCAGCCCTGTCCTCCACCTCCTGCCAAAGGCCCACGCTGGCCCAGCGCTCACTGGCCTCTGCTGCAGTGTTGACACAGAGCAGCGTAGCCACGTTTTCCTGTCAGTTGCCTCCAATATTCAAAGCTTTGTGTCCACCGCCGTGTCCCCTCACATGCATGTAATTGAGCATTTGTGAAAATCACTTTAATAATAAAAAATGAACCTAAATATTGCTCTGCTCTCTTCTTCATTAGAGATCACGATGGGGGTGGGAAAAGGCAGTTGGAGTCCAGAAAAGAAAAAGAGTAAGAAATCTTGTGACTGTTGAGGGCTGACGGGCTCCAGTAACCTTCTGGAAGGCACAGCAGGGAATTAGAGATCTGCAGGTGGAGAAGCAGAGGGCACCCAAGTTACTGCCAGAAAGTAACATGTCCACGCCTCCCATCCCTTTTCTCCTCAAGACTTACATTAAAAAAAATGTTATTTGGGATTGTGGGTGTAGCTCAATGGGCGAGCATTTGCCTAGCATCTTCAAGGTCCTGGGTTCCATCCTCAGTACCCAAGAGAGAAGAGACCCAGACAACGCTCTGTATGCATTTTTCTGAGACTATGGCCCATGGCTTTCACCAGATTCTAAAAGAAGTCTAGACCCCGTCAGGGCTCATAGCAACTACTCTCCAGAGTGATGCACCCTCTATACACTACACAAGAGAAAACAGTGTATAAAATACCAGTTGACATTCTGAATAAATAACAGGATGAACACTCTCACTTCTTGGTTTAGCACAGTGGCTTAGATGTCTAAGGAGGTGCCAGGGTGTAGCACAGTGGTAGAGCACATGCTTAGCATATGCAACGCTCTGGGATCCATCTTAGCACCACAAAAATAAGTTCAAAGTGATTTTTTCAAGTTTACCCAAAAGAATTGAAAGCAGGGACTTGAACAGGTGTTGGTACACCAAGTTTGTTTATATCATCATAGTTCACAGTCACCACAGTGAGGCAGGAGATTAAGGCATGGCCAGTTGGCTGGAACCAATCAGAAAGTGCTGCCTTCAGCTCACGGCCACTGTACTCTGAGAGACAGAAGCAGAAGGATCCCAAGTTGAGTCCCACATGAGCAACTTAGCTCGACCCTGTCTCAAAATAAAAGATGGAAAAGGGTTGGAGATTGAGCTCAGCAGCAGAGCATCCCTAAGTTTGATCCCCAGCACAAAAAAATCAATTCTATTTCTACACTCTTAACAATGAATAATTGGAACATGAAATTTTTAAATTCAATTTATATTTGGTTTTTGTTTTGTTTTGTTTTGGTACCGGAGATCGAACTCGGGTCCTTATGCTTGCTAGGCAGGCGGCAGAACCACTGAGCTAAATCTCAGCCCTTCAATTTATAATGGATGTGGTGACACACACCTGTGATCTCAACACTCTTCGAGGCTGAGGCCGAAGGGTCACAAGTTGGAGTCCCACCTGGGCAAGATTCTGCCTCAAAATAAAAAAACAAAAAGGTCTAGGAATGTGGCTCAGTGCAAAGGCTCTAAGTTCAATCCCCAGTGCCCAAAACATCCATTTATAATAGCATCAAAAAGAATAAAATATGTATGTATAAATTTAACAACTGAAGTGCAAAACTTGTACAATGAAAACTACATAAAGAAATTAAAGAAGATCTATATTCTTGGAGTAGCAAACAATATTGTTCAATGGCGATATGCTACAAAGTGATCTACAGACTGCGATTCCTATCAAAATTCTGACCACCCTTTATGCAGAAATGGGACACGCAGATCCTAAAATTCATATGGAAATACCAGGCCTCCATAATAGCCAAAATAACTTTGAAAAGAGAACAAATGTGGAAGACTTGCACTTCTCGTTTTCAAAATATACTGCAGACCCAAATTAACCCAGAGTGTGTGGTACTGTCATAAAGACAGACAGATAAATGGAAGAGAATTCAGCATCAGAAATGAACCCTTACGTGCTCACTTCAGCAGCACATATACTAAAAATTGGAATGGTACAGAAATGAACCCTTAAATTTATCACCAGTTGATTTTTCAGCAAGGATATCAAGATAACTCAAGGCGGGAGGGAATAACCTCTTCAAAAAATAGTTCTGGGCCACAGGACATGGTGGTGCATGCCTGTAATTCCAGCACTCAGGAGGCCGAGGCAGGGGCATCACCATGAGTTCAAGGCCAGCCTGGACTACATGGCAAGACCCTGTCTCAAAAAACCAAAAAAAAATTTTTTTAAATAGATGATGATGATGATGCCAGCTAGGACAGGCTGGGGGTTTAGCTCAGCGATGTTGCTGCCTGCATCTCAAGCACAAGGACCTGAGTTTGGTCCCCAGTACAAAAAAAAAGCTGAAGTTTGAAAAAAAAAAAAAAAAAAAAAAAAAC